GCAGGCCTGGCACCAGCAGAGATGGTGGTGGCCACAGTAACCAGCAATGGCATGGTGAAGTTTGGCAGCACAGGCTCCACACCCCCTGTGTCTCCCACCCCTTCAGAGCGCTCACTGCTCAGCACGGGTGATGAGAATTCCACACCAGGGGATGCCTTTGGTGAGATGGTGACGTCACCACTGACACAGCTCACACTGCAGGCCTCCCCACTTCAGATCCTTGTGAAGGAGGAGGGTGCCCGTGCTGCATCCTGCTGTCTGAGCCCTGGTGCACGGGCTGAGCTGGAGGGACTGGACAAGGACCAGATGCTGCAGGAGAAGGACAAGCAGATTGAGGAGCTGACCCGAATGCTCCAGCAGAAGCAGCAGCTGGTTGAGCTGCTTCGGCTACAGCTGGAGCAGCAGAAGCGGGCCCAGCAGCCAGCCCCAGCCAGCAGCCCTGTGAAGCGGGAAAGTAGCTTCTCCAGCTGCCAGCTGAGCTGCCAGCCGCAGGACTCTCCTCGTGCCTTTGGTCCTGGCCTGGTGGTTCCCACTACCAATCATGGAGATGCTCAGGCCCCAGCTCCAGGGCCCCTACCTGTGGTGGTGAAGCAGGAAGCTGGGCCACCTGAGCCAGATCTGGCCTCTGCCCCCCAGCTGCTCTTGGGCCCACAGGGCACCAGCTTCCTCAAGAGGGTCACTCCCCCTACTGTGGTCACTGACTCTACAGGGACTCACCTCATCCTCACTGTGACCAACAAGAGCGCAGATGGCCCTGGCCTGTCCACTGGGAGCCCTCAGCAGGTAACTGACTGGCAGGGGCTGGGGTGGCTCATGGATGAGTGGAGAGTGAACCCTGTCCTGTGGAGGCTGTAATCTCAGGCTCAGGATCCACTCCCTAGAGTGGCCTTCTTGAAACCTCCCAAAAGCTCATTAGCTAACTGCCTGTGGGCAGTGAGGGAGGCCCTTCCCCACTCTGGCACATTTGGAGCCTTGCCTATAGCCTCACCAACTGTTTCTCCCATTCAGACCTTGTCCCAGCCTGGCTCTCCAGCCCCTGGCCCACCTGCCCAGATGGACCTGGAGCACCCACCTCAGCCCTCATTTGCAGCCCCAACATCTCTGCTGAAGAAGGAGCCACCTGGGTATGAGGAGAGTGTGAGTCAGCAGCCTAAGCAGCAGGTGAGGATGCTGGGAGCTGGGGTGTGCTAGCACGATGTCTCAGCAGATAAAGGCACTTCCGTGACAACCAGTTTGAGCCTCAGGAGCCACATGGTAGGAGACACCTGACTCCTGCAGGTTGCCCTCTGACCCCTGCATGCTATGGCATGCACATGCACTCATGCATGTACAATATATATTTTAAGGCAGTAGGCAGCCTCGGGCATTGCCTCAGCCCCCCATGGGTTGGGGGATGAGCGTAGGGAACACGCAGTGCAAGGCAGAAGCACAAACTAGGCTGTCTAGCTTGAGCTTAGATGGTATCTGGATTTTCATGTTCTTTTGTTTCTTTCCCACAGGAAAATGGCTCCTCCAGTCAGCAGATGGATGATCTGTTTGACATTCTTATTCAGAGTGGAGGTAAAACCCCATCCCCAGCTGCCTTCCTTACCTCTGGTCACAGGCCTATGATGCCATCTTGAAGGCCTGGGCAGGCACAGTCCTTTGACATGTATTCCTTGGATTTCCACAGCCCTGCAGTTAGGTGAACATGGCCTGCATTTATCCTTGTAGAGCCGTCTACAGAGTGTGAGGAGAGTCGTCCAAATACCTGAACAACAGCACTGTGACAAGGGGCAGAGAAGAGCCAGGGTTCTAGGGCAGGCCCTAGAAGGGTACTATCTTAGGGGCTGTGGAGTTGAGGGAACGGGGCAGAAGAGCATCAGGTCATGGCCACATCACGAGGGGCCTGGCCCCAGGTGGCGTAGTGTACATAGCCTAGAGCAGGGGTCTGACAAGGCCTCCCCGCTGCAATGACTGGTTATACAGGTGACACTGTGGTGAACTGTAGAGGTACTGCCAGGGGAGTAGTGCCTGATACTCAGGAGGTCTCAGGCTTAAGGGGAACATCTGGTGCTGAGTCTGCCATGGAGCCTTAATGGCCTTTCTGACCAGTGCAAGTGGCTGAACACCCTAGGCCTGAGCTTCAGTGGCCACTTTGTCCAGAACAAACCCCATCGGGACAAGGGGAGATTAATGAAGGAGTTGTAACCCCTGAGATCTGCTGTTTAAGGGATGGCAGAGGAAGAGTAGCTAAGATGCTACCTAGTCCCCCAAAGGACACTTGAGGATACCAGAGAAAGGCAGGTGGTGGCATCTGGGAAGCAGTGAACAGCTAGACGGGCATAGTTGATCTGAGACAAAGACCTGGAGGGTTTGTACAAAGTTTTGTCACATATAACAAAACTTGACAGTTGAGGTGCATTATGTACATTGGTGTTGCACAGCCATGTCTACCTCTCACAAACTAAAACTGGACCTTTAGATGAAACTCCTCACAGCCCCCATCCCTTCTGAGTGTGCCCACTCTGTACGTGGGCTCTTGTGGTTTTGGTCTGTATGTGAATGGTTTAGTTTACTTAACCTGTCCTCAAGGCTCATCCACTTGTCCATCACTGGACACTTGAACTGTTTGTCACTACTGCTGTCATAGTCTTTTGGTACATGCATATCCACAAGTGAGATTGCTGGATCAAACTGGTTTTGTTGATGTTTTGAAGAACCAGCCAATACTGCTTTTAAAACCTCTGTGAGCGACTTCACCTTCCCTCACACAGGTTCCAGTGACCCCACTTCCTCACCAACACTTCTGGTGTTGGGAACCTCATGTGTGTTCTTCCTGACCACTACCACCTACCTTCTGACCTGACAGTAGCCAGACTGTTGTGTAAGAAGTAGTTATTTTCCCAGGGCAACGCATTGCATTTCCCTAATGACCAGTGATGCTGTGAACCGTTACAGCCATGTGTAGATCTTTGGAGAAATCCCCTCCTTTGCCCTTTTATAAAAATGAAGTTGTTTTACAAACTGTTTATATATTCTGGGTATATGAATTCCCTTATCAAATCTGTGACCTGCAAATACTTCCATTTGGTGATACGTCTTTTCATTCATTTAATTTTTTTGGTACATGCACACTAGGCAAGCACTGTACCACTTATCCTCAGCTCCCACCAGGTTATAAGTTTTATCTCCTATAGTTAAGTCTGTAGTCAGATTTTTCTCTGGTTTTTGGTAAGGACTGTCCCATCATTTTCTTGTGCATATTCAAACCTGGTTTCTGACCCCATTTGTTGTCTCTGTTGGCAGAGATTTCAGCATATTTCAAGGAGCCACCATCCCTACCAGGAAAGGAGAAGCCACCCCCAACAGCAGCCTGTGGGTCCCTGCTGACACCACAACCCTCACCTTCGCCTTCGAATGAACTTCCCCAGGCTGCTCCTCCACCCGCCTCCCCAACTCTCCCAGGGCGCCTAGAGGACTTTCTGGAAAGCAGCACGGGACTGCCACTGCTGACGAGTGGGCACGAAGGGCCAGAGCCCCTCTCCCTCATTGATGACCTCCATAGCCAGATGCTAAGCAGCTCTGCCATCCTGGACCACCCCCCATCACCCATGGACACCTCTGAATTGCACTTTGCTCCTGAGCCCAGCAGTGGTATGGGCCTGGACCTGGCTGATGGCCACCTGGACAGCATGGACTGGCTGGAGCTGTCCTCTGGTGGCCCTGTGCTCAGCCTGGCTCCCCTCAGCACTGCAGCCCCCAGCCTCTTCTCCACGGACTTCCTGGATGGCCAGGACTTGCAGCTCCACTGGGATTCCTGCTTGTAGCTCTCTGACTCTAGGCTAGGGAAGGGTCTGAAGTTGGGGAGCCACAGAACCATAGCCAGCGTGTGCTACCTGTGACTGGGAGCCTTGACAATCACAGTCCCTGGAGGCTGCAGCCAAGACCCTACACCTGGCTCAGGCTCATCCAGGGCAGGGAATACAAGCCGTCAAGAAACAACTCTGGGCCCATGCTGAGGTTGGTTGTGGGAAGCTGGCCAGACCCAGTTCAATTTGACCTCCTTTTCTGAGGTCAGAGGTGCACATCTGCTGAAGTTTGGCCCTGGAGTCAACCTACCTTCCTCTCCCTTTAAGGAAGAAACTGGCCAGGCTTCTACTTACCCATTCCCTATTTCAGCCAGTCCCAGGACCCTGTATCCCAAGAGGTGGCTTCCTGCCATTTTAATCTTGGTATAGTATAACCATTTAGTGGTTGGTGGCAAAAATCTGTATAGGTGTATATACCTCTATATTATATATCAACTTACATATATACATATATTTTTAGGTGTGGGGGGAGATGGGTGTGGCTACCTCCACCTGCTTTCACATGCAAAAGGCCTAGAGAGCTGCTTGACTTCATACAGGGTCATCATGAGGAGCCACATGGCCCAGTACCCAACCTGGCATGCAGCTGCCTAGGCCTACCCCACACACATTTGACATGCAGACAGACACCTGCCATTGCCTACACGCCATCCTGCCCTGCTTCCTGGCTCCTTAGTGCCACAAGGGCAGAAGTGCTTCCAGGTTCTCCAGGAGCTCTCTACCCACCCACATTCCGTCCCATCTCCCCACTGCAGCCACCCTGGCCTTGGGATGGGGGTGAGGGTGGGTGGGTCCTGGCTATACTTGCTGGGGGCTAGGAGGTACCTTCTGCCCAACCCCAGCCTTGTTCTGTCCTGATTCAATATAGAAAAGGGACAGAGCCATCAAAACCAGTGCTGGGACAAAAGTGGGGAAGCTGTGTGAACTTTTTAAAATAAAATAAAAAACACTGACTTGCCAGTCTGTTGTATTTGGTCCATCAGGGCTGAGAGATATGACTGGGATCCTGGGCCTTTTCCATGATGGCATCTAGAGGTCACACTATGAGACAAATATTCAGCAAGGGCCCAGGAGTCAAACCATTTCAAGTGGTTTTTGGTGGGGTAGTCTTGATAGAACTCAGGCCTGGCTAAACAAAAGATGGGAGGCTCTCTCACAAAATGAGTTTTATTTACAATCAAAGAGGGCAAGAGGACTTTATCTGCCATTAACCTGCCCCCTTCCTGAGCAGAGACCAGCACAGGTGTGGCTCTTCACAAGGTTTTTGGCTAGTACACCATATGGCTGGCACCCAGGACTTCTTTAAGGACCTTGGCAAGACACTCCCCCAGGAACATGGTAAGGAGAGAGGCTGAGCCGGCCCCCAGTGTCCTCTTCTGCCAACGTCAAGCATGGGGTGGCGAGGCCTGGACACTGAGCACGGGTCCTGGCCAGGGCTCTGCCCTCTTTCTGTTGAAGGGAGAGCAGCTAGCAGTGTCACCCATCTATGTCCCAGCTGAAGAGGTGGTGCTTCACCAGCATGTCCTGAACACCCTCCTTCAGTGGCTGCTTCTCTTCCTGTGCACACAACAGCCCCAGTCACTGGCAGGGACCACCCTGCAACCACACAGGTCACTTCTTCAGCCCAGACTGCACCACAGCCCTCCTGGCAAAAGCAATGCCAGGGACCAACCAAGCCACATACGCACCTCTCTCTTAGCAGGGAGCTCCCAGTCCTGGGAGAGGCTGAAGGCAAAGCAGCAGAGGACGCTAGGAACCAAGGACAGTCTGGTCATTCTGGGCTATTCTGCCAACCCACCAGCCTCCAATACCAAGTTCCAGGCCCTGCAGAGCTGCCCACTCACCCACCGGAGCTCACACTTGATCTGGACCCAGCCAGGGCTGCGCAGGAAGGACCAGGGCTGATACCACTTCTCCACAGTGGGCAGGCTGGAGCAGAGCACCTCCAGCCACAGGTGTAGTACCTGTTCACTAGGAACAAGGAAAAAGGAGGGTGGGGCTGGGCCCAGAGGACCCCAGCCTGCATCCCCTTCCCAGGAGCTCCTGCACACCCTCCACAGGAAGGTGGGGCCTCCCAAGTGGTCCAGAATCCCTGAGGATCACCCCCACCCCCACCCTGCACCTTGGCTCTCCCTGTAGGGTACTCTCTGAAGACCTCTCTTTCTTTACACTTACTTGAGCCCCACACAGATAAGTGAGCGGAGTTTCACGTCCATTTGTGCGTGTGCAGCATCATGGGTCACATTCACAGACTGCACAGCCTGAGAAGGGTACAATGTCACTCAAGTGCCCGGTGGCTGGCTGGCCGGCCAGAGAGGTCTCAAGAATACTGGCAAGTGTCCTAACTTACCCGATACAGCAACTCTTCTGGAGTCAGGACTTTGCCATCTTCATCCAACCTGCAAGAACAAGAGTGCTATCACTGGCTGTCGTGCTAGACACAGGCAGGTATCACAGGTACTATGTATGTACCTGTATGTCTTACAGAGCACCAGGCGGGAATACACAGAATCAAAGTCTCTCTCGACCTCCCGGCCTGCTGCCTGTGGTGAACAAGACACAGTATGAGGGTGAGGGCAGTGACAGTGAGCAAATGCCACCACCCTGCTAGCTCTTTCCACCTCTTCCAGAGACCCAGGAAGGGCTGAGGTGAGCACCATGGGTACCTGTAGGGCTGGGACTGAGAAGAAGGCCAGGTGCCCGCAGTGATTACCTCCTCAATAAACAGCCAGGGGTGGCAGGCCCCTCCAAGCAAGGACGGCTTCTTCAGTCCATGTTCAAACAGGGCCTTGAGGGCTGGGCAGAGAGTCCCTCGCACAAGGTCTGTGACTCCTTCTGTCACAGAGTCATCCCCCGCAATAGAGTACTGATGGAGAGGATGTTTGAGAAGCCCAAGCCTGGCACCTGCAGGCATCCACCCTCTCCTGTCCTCCGGGCCCCTGCCACAAGCTAGGGCTCACTTGGGACATGGACCTGGCAGGCAGGAGGATGCCTCCACACCATGAGCTACAAGGAGCAGCTCTACACTCCTACCTCTTTGCTCCGTTCATCCAGGACCTCCACAAACTTGGCTGGAAACCAGCCTGTGGGAAGAAGTAGCCATGTGAGGAACAGCAGCAACCATCCCAACCCTTGTGCCCAAGGTCCAAAAGCAAAAGTCTCCCCAAACCACCCAGAACCTTCAAGCAGGTCAGGCATGCCAAGAAGACCAAGAGGAAAGAAAGCTCCCTCAGAGGCCAGGGGTCTGAGGCTGGGCAGGCCATGAAGAGGAAGGACTGGCACAGCAAAGGCTCATCTCTCTTGGCAGCCCTGTAGCAGACAGAAGCCCTTACCTCTAAGGCCGTTCAGCTCACCCACCCAGCAGTGCTCGTCCTTCTGAGAAATGATCTGAAAGAGAGAAGAGGACAGGGCTCAGGGCCTGCACAAACCATGGGATGTCCTCATGCCCAGCAGCATCAGCTCTCAGCAGGGAAGGCAGGGAGCAGGCAGCATGTGTGCCAGGCCCCCACACACCGTGATGATGTCGTTTTTTCGGAAGCCTAGCTCATCATCATCATGCCGCTCAAAGTCCAGCAGGGCCTTGGCCCGGCGCCGGTGGCTGCGTAAGCATGCCACATAGTTCTCATGGTCCCGCTGGTGGCTCTCCATGCTGTAGTCTGGGGTCAGCTCCTGCCAGAAAGGAAAGGCCCACCATGAAGGAAGAGCCTCAGTACCATGAATGGACTGGGGAAGGGGAGCCTGCCACTCACCACACTACAGTTCTTGGGGTCTGTGCACTGGAAGTGGCGAGCCACACGCAAAATGGCTTCTCGGAGGTCAGCTACCAGCTCTGTCTGCTTGATATTCTTGGCCTTGAGAGCCTCTAGGTCATCCTCCCCTAGGAGGCACACAGGCATGGTAACAGGCCCTGCCCAACCTCTAGAAGAATCAGCACAAACCCACACTGCTACTCACCAAAGAGCAGGGAGGTGATGCCAGACTTCCTCCGCTGAGTCCTGCGGCGTACAACCTGTGGGGAGGAAAGCCCATCAGCAGTGACCAAAGTAGCCACTCAGAATGGGAAGACACTAACTTGCCTGTGTCTCATTGGTGCCTGGACATTTCTAATGGCCTGAAGGAGACACTGAGATCAAACCAGATCTTCAGCTCAGGCTAGGGACAATGTCCTACTCACTTTCTGGCTCAGAGTCCAGGAATGCATGTTACCAAGGAAGCCTAAGTCACCCCCTAGTGGCCGTTTGATGGTCTAAATGGGCCATTGCAGGCATGTGCAGAGCTGGGTGGGATGGAGAGTGAGTGGCTCAGCAGGGGAGGGCCAGTCTGTTTCCCACAGCCCCTCACTCTGTGCTTTGGAAACACCATGATTTCTCCAAGATAGAGCCACCCTATTCAGCCCACCTACTCAGCCCACCTGAGAGAGGTTGGTGGTGGCACTAGTCCCCAGGGTCTGGCCTTGGTCTGCAATGAGATAGGCCAGGTGCTTGCGGCGTTGGGTCTCCACAGCCACATCAGTGAGGGAGCCAGCCAGCCGCATGGCCTCCCCCAGCAGTAGCTCGGCATCCTCCATCTGTGCTGGGATGTCTGACAGCGTGTTGAAGATGGAGGCTGAGTTCTCTGACTGTATCAGCTCTTCCTCCTTGGGGGGTGGGGAAGGTAAGGGAGCATGGCACTGGCACCCTCCTCAGAAATCTGTGCCCTTTAGCAGGCCCAGGAAAATCCCCATGTACACCCACACTCAGGGCTTCTCTCAGGCACCACTATGATGAAGGCTCAGTTATCTCAGTGTCCCCCCAGAGGAGGGTACCAAGGCTGCTGTACTTGGTACATGCTTTCCTGTTCTCAGTCTGGAAACTAGGTGGCCCAGACCAGGGAGCAGGAGACCCTGCAAGCACCTTAAGGCGCAGCATGCCCAGCGTAGTCTGGAACAACACCAGGGAGCCCTCGTAGAAAAACAGGTCCCAGATGCGCAGCAGCAGTCTGATATGTACCACGCTGGCGAATGCCGTGAGGAACCAGTGCAGTGTGATCAGGGACAACTCTGTCAACAGACACCAAAGCCACAGCGGCTGAGACCAGGCTTGGCTGACAGGGAACAGCCTGGACGGGAGTGAGGCAGCTCCCAAAGAGCAGCAGAGAGGAGAGGAAGGGACGGGGCCAGAATGCAGAAGACAAGAGCAACACAAACCACGAGAGCATCTGCCACCAGCCTGACCATCAGCCTTTTGCTGATGCAACCTCAGAGTTGGCACTACCATCTTAGGATCATGGGACCTTGGGGGAGGAAGGCAGCCAGGTCTCACCAATGTCATGCTCCTGCAACAGTTTGTCCAAGCGAGGCAGGTACTGAACAATCAGGTGGCGCAGGACCCGCTGGTCAGTCTGGACACCCAGTAAGGTGGTGCTGAAGTAGGAAGCAGGCAGCAGGTCTTCGATAATGGCACACATCATCCAGAATGCATCTTCCTCCTCCAGGAATAGCAGGAGGCAGGCAGCCACCTAGCCAGAGAGGGGGACATGGGGCTTCTACCCAAGTATTCAAGTGAGCCAGAAAAGTTGCCCCAGTCTAATAGATAAGGGCTCTTGGGGTTACCTCCTGAAGGCATACTTTTTCAGTCTGGTTGAGAGGGCCCCTAGGAAAAGAAACCTGTTCCCATGGCCCTCCCAGGTCAATACTTGCCTCCCATCCTTATAACACCTAGAGGGAAAATATGCCTCACAAAAGGCTAGAGAAGACCCTAGTTGCCTCCCAGGCTACTCACCATGCCTGTGCCCTGGCAGTAGCCAATCTCTGGGTAGAGCCAGGCCAGTGCTCGGAGGACTCTGCGCAGGCGGGGCACCCCAATGCTGTTCACGTTGGCAAAGCAGGCATTGCTGGGCATGGTGCGGAGCAGGTCCTTTTCAATCTGTCAGATCCCCACCCCACCCCACAAGACCTTGTTTGATGCAACTGTAGACGGACACCCACCCAGTAAAGGAGAGAAGCTGTAGTAGGCTTCTGTCCCATCAAAGGGGATTCCTTACCGTTGAGGCCAAGGCTAACCCTCCCTTCTCCAGGATTAGATCCCATCAAGTATGGAATTGAGCCCACACAAGCCACCTGCCTGACCCAGATCTGTATTTAAAATTTCCTGCTCTTTCTAATGTGGAGCCATCTCCTGCATGTCCTTCCACACACTGGATACCTTTGCCTATTGCACTGAAGGACCTGGAAAGGAGCAAGTTTACTCCAGGCCACATTCACTAGTGAAGGGGCTGCTCACCCTGCCAAGGAGATCAACAAGGGGCAGTCCCAGAGGTGACATGGGCTCTGCCAAGCAGCTTCTCCCTACCAACTAACTGGCTGTCCCGTGTTACCTGTTTGGCAGCAATGGTCTCATCATTGGAACTGTTCTTTACAATCTCACGGTAGGACAACTCAGAGTTCTTTTTCTTCTGTAGTGCCCCAGATAGCCGCATCCACAACTAAAGGGAGAAGTCACATAGCAGTTTCTTTTGTAACAGACAGGGCACTTTCAACTCTCTGTGGGGTCTTTGTCTTTGTGGTCATCTCACCTGTGGCCTCATGCCATGTGGGATGCCAGCCAGCACTAGGGAGCGGAGTTTCTCAGAGCGGGGGAGGGAGACTGCAATCTTGTCCCAGGTAAGATCCCCTACATCGTGGTTGTGGGTAAACTCCAGGTGGGCCTGCCACCGTAGCCTCTGTGGGGGATCCTCCACCATGGGTGCACCTGCCATCTGGCTGCATCCAGATTCAGAACCTTCCACCAAGAGAGAACAGAGGAGGAAGGAAAACATGTTCCTCACCCACATCCCCCACAGCAGCCTGGTCTGTCCTTATGGGGCTTACTGCTGTCTCCAGGCTAGGTGTCTCCACTGTCCACAGCCTCCCAAGAGCTCTAGCCACACAGTCTTCTTAGTGGCAAGGAAACGAAACAGACCCTTCTTAAAGCAGCCCCAGACCCATGTCTCCATCCTCCAGAGGCCCCGGGGGGCTCCTTGTACCCTAAAAGCCAAATTCAATCCATTGCAAATACAATGGGCTTTGTGTATATATGTGTGTGAGCACATGTATGTGACAGTGCAGGTACAGAGGTCAGGGACAACTTCTGGGAATCAGTTCTCACCTTCCACCATGTGGGTCCCAAGAACAAAATCAGCTCACCAGGCATGGTGGCAAGAACCTTTACCCACCAAGCCATCTCACGGGCTCTGGATTTTCTTGCTTCTTATCTAGCCCAACTACTGGTCCATACCAAGACACCAACCTTTGCTTATAAGAGCCATGGCAGTGACTATCTCACTGGCCTCCACAGCAGTCACATAGACCTTTTCTAAGACATGTCAGCTCATGTCACTGTTCATGCTGAAGACCAAAGGCGTTCGTGCTCCATTGTCTGCTACTCTGCCCTCACCTCTCACCCCTTTCTTTTTCCTCCCTCCCTCCCTCCTCCATTCACTCCTGGGACCTGCACACCTGTCACTGTCGTTCCCCAGTTGTACTCCCTCCATCTCCTCCTTCTAGGCCTCCTGAAAAACCTTACTCAACTGCTTTATATGTAAATATTTCACCTCCCCTTTACTATACATCGAAAGCTCTTCATAGGTCTTCTTGCCCCGAGCATACTTTATTTCTGCTTGATTACAGCCTGTCTCCTCACCAGAATGGGAACTCTGTGTGGTCAAGACCATCTTTGAGGACATAAATGGAAAGAAAACACAGGCACCACAGCTTCATGAACCCCTTGAACACAAGAAGATAAAGTCTGTGGCCAGCAAACAATCTGTGTGGTGATTCCTGCCTACCGAGCCTCCTCGGCACTCACCCTAAGCCAAGCTCTTACCCTAGTTCTTAAAAACCTCAACCGTGGCCACACTTCACAGAGAAAATGCACAAGTCCTAAGTGTGCATCTTGATGGGTGTCAGTAAACAAAACACTGTTCCACATGTGGTTGTGAACACTCTGGACTCTAAATCTGGTGACCTATCAAAACACAAATGATTTCCATCATTCTAGAAAGTTCTCTGTGACCCTCTCAACCTGAGCTTTAACTTCCATTTTCTTGCAAATTAGAGCACCAAGGAAAACTAATGCCTGAGTTACAAATATGAGTGATGTGAAGTTGAGAGCTTCAGCTGAAGGAAGCAATCCTGCTATTCCTGGTGGCAGGCCATCATGGATCTGGCAGGCGGCCTTCCCAACAAGCTGGAGCACCTAGTCAGATGCCCTCTTACAGAAAAACGGCTATGCTAGGCATGGTGGCACACACCTTTAATGCCAGCATCCAGAAGCGAGGCAGGTGAACCTCTGAATTCAAGGCCAGCCTGGTCCACAGAGAGTGTGCCAGGACAACCAAGGCTACATAGAGAAACCCTGTCTCAAAGAACAAACAAACAAAAACAGCTGCAGAAGTATCACAATCAATTTGTTGCCATTAAGGATGTGTAAAGTAATGTTTAAAATCCTTAAGTAACAGGAAATGCTCCTGATGTAATGTGACATTTCATAGTGTCAGGGAACGAATACCTCATGCAGCAGCAGCTCCCTCAAATTGTGGGACTATGGATTCTTTTTTTTAAAAAAACCGCTCCCCACCACACAGGGTTTCTCTGGAGCACTGGCTGTCCTGAAACTCCCAAGTGCTGGGATAAAAGGTGTGTGTCACCGTGCTTGGCCTTCATTTTGCTTTAATCATCATCCCTTTCTGCACTGTGTAACTTTTTAAAAATATACATAACTGCTATGTTATATAAAGATCAATAAAATTTATCTCAAAAAAACAAAACAAAAGTTCCCATAAATTTACATCACTCTCAGATATACTCTGTCCTTAACTCTTTAAATGCCACCCCCAGACCTCAGAGGTCACACGTGGTGGAATGCAAAACACAGGGCGAGAATCCTCTCAAGGACATCAGGAAGAACACACAGAAGAGGCTGTGTCTTACCTTCCTTGTCCACACGGAAACCAAATTCATCATAGCAGAACTCAGGTTGGTCCACAGACTCTTCCTTCTAGAATCAGGATTAGGAAGCAGGCTGTCTATCCACTGTGAAGCAGTTCCAAAAGATGCCACCCATATGGCTGACCGCTAAAACCTACCCTGATAAAGGCTACCCATCTATGATGCCTTCTCTGGCCATCATTAAAGTACAAAGGGTCACTACCATGACTGAATTCAACTGTGTCTCCATAACAGTCTTCCTCCTAGCTAATGACTAAGTCCTACAGGCCTAAGACACTAAAATGCCATCTCCAGTAGGGAGCCTGTGACCCTGTGTGAGGGGGAGGGGGGCCATCCGCATGGGAGCATGGCAGGGTGATACTTGTCTATGTCAACTGCTATACCTGTGTGTACTTTGCCAGGATCTCCTGGGGCCATATGCTTGGAGTCAGGGCAGAAAAAGGGCCACTGGCAGAAGGCATGTGATTTCCTACAAAGACCAGAGAGAACAATCAAGAAAAGCAGAAACACCAGGCATGGTAGCACACACTTTTGATCCCAGCAGAGACAGACGAATCTAAACCTGAGGCCAGCCTAGTGAGTTCTCATTCCAGGCTAGCCAGGAGTACATAGTGAGAGCCTGTCTAAAACAAACAAACAAACAAACAAAAAATCACATAGAAAGTACTGGCTATGCAGAGTGGACTGATAAGGCTGGCAGAGAAACCTGAAACTGAGCACTGTGGAAGAGCAGCAGCAGCATGTCCAACATATAAACGCAGACTTTTTTTCTTTCTAGCTTTGAGACAGGGTTTTTCTGTGTAACAGCCTAGCCTTGGAATTCACTTTGTAGATCAAGATGGCCTTGAACTCAGAGATCCACCTGCCTCTGCCTCCTGGATGCTAAGACTAAAGGTGTACACCACCAGCGTCCAACCTAAACTCAGACTCTACCTCCTTTCCCACCATAGTGGGAGGATTCACAGGCCAGAGGAGAAAGAAGCTAGAGACATGAACAGAGAAAGACAGTTTCAGTCACTGACCCAAGAGCCCAAACCTTCTCTTCCCCCTTTTTCACCTCTCTCATCTACAAGATTGCTTTTCAGTTGTTTGGGTTGTTTTTGAGAAACGGTCTCATAGCTCAGGCTTCCTTCAAACTTGCTATATGCTGTGGCAGGCCTTCAATGCCTCATCTTCCTCTGCCTCCACAGAAGGTTAATTATGAAACTGGAAGTCAGCTCTACCACAGCCCCTGGTGAGTATGCAGGCCTTGTCCCCACCTGACATCATGTGCGGTAGACAGTAGCAGGTCTTCACAGATCCAGGCTTAGATGGTCATTACTGGCATCTCTGATGGTCATGAGGTTCCTTAGGCTTCATCTGTCCTGTAAGAGAGCAAAGGGGAGGTTGTCCCACACCACACCTCAATCCTGGAAGGAGAGTCCTCTCTGTCCAATCCACCGCTCAACTAGGAGATGTCTACTGCCATTTCTCTCTCTCTCCCTCTCTTTCTTCTTGAGACAGGGTTTCTCTTTGTAGCACTGGCTGTCCTAAAACTTGCTTTGCATTAATTGGATACTTCAGAGCTCATAGTCTGTACCACAGTAAGGTGGTTGCATGCCCTTAACCCCAGTACTTGGGAGGCAGAGACAGCCTGGTCTACTGAGCTAGTTCCAGGACAGCCTCCAAAGCCACAGAGAAACCTGTCTCAAAAAAAAAAAAAACAAAAACAAAAACAAAAAGACTGGGGGCGGGATAGAGGGCTCAGAGGTTAAGAGCACCGACTGCTCTTCCAGGGGTCCTGAGTTCAATTCCCAGCAACCACATGGTGACTCACAACCATCTGTTATGAGATCTGGTGCCCTCTTCTGATATGCAGATTTACATGGAAGCAGAATTTATATACATAATAAATAAATAAAATCTTTAAAAACAAAACAAAAACAAAAAAAAAGAAAACAAAAAACAAAGAGAGAGGGGATATCTCTCAGGGCAAGGGGGAGGGGAATGTCTTCTGGGGATCTGGATTCTGGCATCATTCAGTTATGCTAATCTCCACTTGTTTAGGCCCTAGGCAATTATCTTTCACTTCTGTGAATCTCAGTTTTCTTTATCAATAAAATGAATACCACCACCTATGCCTTACAAAGATCATGTGAAGGGACCAGCTCCCCATTTCGGCAGCCATGACAGTAACACATGCTCGCTATGACCTTGTCTAATTCACTAGAGGTTAGGCGCCTGCCTCGTGACAAGGAACCAATCAGAAGTTAGCTGGTGGTGCTATGCTTTACGACTCTGAGTGTGAGACACTCCCCTTACACCGCCCTATAAGATCTCTTGGGAGGCCCCAGGCTCTGTCTTTTGCGAGCCATCCCCCATGGCGGGTGGGTGAAAGACCCGCGCTAACATGGGGTTAGCTCCTTAAAAAACAATAAAGCCTTGGGGCTGGAGAGATGGCTCAGAGGTTAAGAGCACCGGCTGCTCTTCCAGAGGTCCTGAGTTCAATTCCCAGCACCCACATGGTGGCTCACAACCATCCTTTATGAGATCTGGTGCCCTCTTCTGGTGTACAGATATACATGGAAGCAGAATGTTGTATACATAATAAATAAATAAAATCTTAAAAAAAAAAAACACCAATAAAGCCTCATGCAGTTTGCAGCAAGCTCTTGAATCTGCCTGGTGATTGGGGTGACCTCGGTCATGGCCTGGGACCCCGATACCTGAGTTTTCCGGGGGTCTAACACATGAAGATTAAGTAAAATAATGCAAATAAGGCCCTCAAGCATACCATCTGATTTACCATTAGGAAACTGGGGATCATAGTAATTTCTAGAAAATGACTGTTGAGGAAAAAAAATGACTTGGTATCTGAGACTTAGGTCCAGACTGTAGTACACTAAAAATTATTAAGACATAATAAAATTTCTGGTATTTGTGTATGATAGCCTACAAAACCAATATCAAATGGTTTGATGTAACATATCCCCAGATAAGATCCTAAGACTCGGCACATAACCACAAAGGAGATCATTTAAAGTTATTCTTGGATGTTGGGGGGGAGGGGAGGGAGAGGGAGAGGGAGAAGGGATTGACATCTGAAGCAAGCTTGTTCCTAATTTGAACTAATAAAATAAAAATAAATAAAGTTATTCTTGAAGACGAGCAGGGCATCCAGGCATGGTGACAAATACCAGTACTCAGGAGGCAGAGGCAACCAGACCTCTGTGAGTTTGAAGCCAGCCTGGTCTATATAGTGAGGTCCAGGCCAGCCACAGCTGCATAGTAAGACCCTGTCTGAAAAATAAGACCCTGTCTGAAAACATGGCAGAGCAAAAAGCATGGAGGAAAATAGGTTTTGTTTGTTTGTTTGTTTAAGATATATTTATTTATTATGTATACAGGGTTCTGCCTGCATGTATGCCTGCAGGCCAAAAGAGGGCACCAGATCTCATTATGGATGGTTATGAGCTACCATGTGGTTGCTGGGAATTGAACTCAGGACCTCTGGAAGAGCAGCCACTGTTCTTAACCTCTTAGCCATCTCTCCAGCCCAGAAAACAGGTTTTTAAAGTGGAGGAAATGACATCTGCTGTGGAGGGCAGAGGGGCTGGAAGACAATTCTCAATCAGAGATTCCTTTCTTAGCAGCCTCCTACTCACTTGTCACCTAACAATGACTGAGTCCTGAGCTAGACAGCCCAACTGCAAACAAAGTCAGGCTGTCGCTGAGTAGTTGAAAACCAGATGGTATTGTGAGTTTCAGAAGAGAGGGGTTATCTGTATCATATTGGAAAGAGCCTTTGAGAGCTGAGGTCTGAGCAAGGGTCCAAGGGAAGCAAGGAATCAAGGCCTGAACTTCACTGAGATATCCAGATGCAGGAGGTGCAGGTGCGGGGGGAATCTGGGGTGCAGTGAGGGGAAAGGACTGAAAGGAAGCAACAGCAGGGGCCAAGAGCACCTTACCCTGAGGATAGGCATTTGACCTTTATTCTCAGAGAGTGGAGAGATCAGGAGGTTCTGAACAGCCATGAAGCAAAATCTGATGGGATTAGATAAACTCTTCAGATGCCCAGAAGTCTATAGAGAATTCAGGGCCAGAGCAGATGGCCCAGAAGGAGATGATGTGGGCTTTGCCTGGATGAAAGCATTGAGAAATGGTGAGATTGTGGATACGTTTTAACAGGCTGCGAGCTTCAGCTTTGGATTTTGTATGCATGTGTGCATCTGTGCTATTTTTGTGTGTGTTGTATATATGGATACATAGAGTTCTTCAGCCTGTCCTTAAGCCTCCCAGATGTGATACTGCTAAGCTGGGCAGGCAGGTTTTTCAGCTTCTAGTTGCTGTGGAAAATTCCCTGGAAGCACCATCTGGGAATTGACAGGAGTGGCCCAAGGAGTTACTCATGCCTTGTTACCTGTCCTCCTGTTGCCATAGGGGTTTTAAGAAGCAGAAACTGGAGAGATGGCTCAGAGGTTAAGAGCACTGGCTGCTCTTCCAAAGGACCTGAGTTGAATTAAAAGCAACCACATGGTGGCTCACAACCATCCGTTATGAGATCTGGTGCCCTCTTCTGGTGTGCAGATATACATGGAAGCAGAATGTTGTATGCATAATAAATAAATAAATAAATAAATAAATATCTTATTGTATGCATAATAAATAAATAAATAAATAAATAAATAAATAAATAAATATCTTAAAAAAAAAAAAGAAGCAGAAACTTTAGAAAACCTGTAACTGATGCAGCCTATCCTCAGGTCAAATGCCTATCCTCAGGGTAAGGTGCTCTTGGCCCCTGCTGTTGCTTCCTTTCAGTCCTTTCCCCACACTGCACCCCAGATTCCCCCCGCACCTGCACTTTGGTGGTGCTCTGAAGAAACTCGTAACAATTAAATGCACATGCTAAAGGAGCCAGTCCTGATGACACGTATCCTTCCCCAGCTTACCAACCCATATTGCTAGACAAATATGCCGCTGTATGCAGGCACAAAGGTACTGCTCATTTCCTGTGGTCTCCTGACATGGATTGCAGGGACCTATACCCCTACAAGGCAGCAGGGCTGCTGCCAGAAAAGTGGCTTTCTACAGGCATCTGCTAGGAAAAGCAAAGGCTGAACCAAAATACGCAAAACCACTCGCTGATTTCTGGTTGCACCTAAGATCTCGAAGATCACTTTTTCCTCTGTAAAGAGATGAATGAAGCAATGCTGAAAACTACAGATAACAGATAACCTTATAAGAGCAGCTAGCTCAGAGCTGGGAAAGTCTGAGAAAGACTAAAGAAAGGCCACTCTAGATGCTCCTAGCACCTACTTGGTGGCTCACAACCATCCACAATTCCAGTTCCAGGAGATCCAGTGTTTTTGTCTGACCTCCTTGGGCACCAGGCGTATATACATGCATGCAAAGACACTCATACACATAAAATAAAATAAATAAAAAATAAATTGTAATAAAAGTTTTTATTAAATAATAAAAATTGGGTATTGCCACTGTGACAGTATAAAGGGCTTGACCTTTAAGAGATGATTAGGTGTGTGCACACCTTTAGTCCCAGCGCTTGGGAGACAGGCTGGAGGATCTTTGAGTTCAAGGCCAGCCTGGTTTACAGAGCAAGGGAGCAGAGCCAAGAGGATTGCAAGTTTAAGGTCAGCTGTCTATATAATGGGATCCTGGCTCAAAACAAACAAAAGGTAATTGAGCCATTAAATTCATTAGACAGGAATGTGGAGTCTACTGGTCTTGGATTGTTGTTGTTGTTATATGTTTTATGATCTGACCTATGTTACCCAGGCTGGTCTTGAACTTGTGGACTCAAATGATCTTTCCACCTCAGCCACAAGTGCTGGAACTACAGACATTTACCAGTATGCCCAGCTTGGTCTTATTTTTTTTTATGTTATTTTCTTTGGAAGTACTCAAGACTATACTGTTTGAGGTTTCAGATTTTTTCAGAATTTGGAAAATCTAAATAGACTTTATTAGGGAAGTATCCTTAACTGGAAAATCTAAAACTTTATTTATTTGAGATAGGGTCTCTCTACACATCCATGGCTGTCTTGGAACTTGCTATATAGACTAGGCTGGCCTCAACTTCACAGAGATTTGCCTTGTCTGTATGCTCAGATTAAAGAGATGCATCACCATATCTGGCCTGAAACTTGTTTTTTCTTTTTCTGCCTCCCCCCTCCCCCAGGGTTTCTCTGTGCAGCCCTGGCTGTCCTGGAACTTGCTCTGTAGACCAGGCTGGCCTCGAACTCACAGAGATCCACCTGCCTCTACCTCCCAAGTGCTGGGATTAAAGGTGTATGCCACTACAGCCCAGCCTAGCCTGATACTTTTTAAGCATTAGAAACACTAAAATACTCCCACCGGGGCG